CGCCTCCTTCTCCAAAGTGCAAAGCCGTGGCGGAGGATTTCCACCGAGAGCGGCACAATGCTCGGCGCAAGGTGGCGTTCGCGAGGAACTAGACGACGCCAACCTGGGTGCTCGCGGAGGCTTGGGCCCTCGACCAGCCCAAGACCATCATCGAGTCGGACGCGGGCTCAAAACCCAATTACTCCAAGTGGGGGATAACGAAGACCAAGTGTACCTCCGCCCCAAGCCACGGATGTTGCGACTGAGTGTCTACGTCGTAGTGGCTAGGCGGGGATGTCGCGACGCCTGGCGGGCCTTCCGCCACTGGCTCGATGACGATGGCGGCTTCGGTTACAACACAGACAACGTCCGGAACTCGGCCTAGTCTTAGTTTACTTTAAGTTTAGGTTGAACTTGCTTAAATTTTGTCAGTTTAGCTTAAAATCCATTTGTGCTTGTGTTTGGTTCATTTGAAACGGGTTAGATATATGATGACTACGGTTGGATGGCTTCCACCCGGCTCGTTGTCCCCGAACTTGGAGTTACCCTAAATCTGACCCCAAAAATCTGGTATGGGTAGTCCCAAACAAGTTAGGGGAGGTTAGATCTATAAGATCTCGAAACCAACTCATTTTTTAAAAAGGAGGAAGACCCCCGGCCTCTGCATCTGGACGATGCATGCAGTCACTTATTAATTGTTCACACAAGACCTTACAAAGTAATACAACAGTAAGACTAAAGCCACCGTCTAGGCAACATCTATCGCTACTCATATACAATTGATGAAGGGATGCTGATAGTCTGGGCCTAAATACCAAATAGACCATGCAGCCAAACCTAACATCTAAGACCCGAGGTCCCATCCAGGACGCATGCGGGCATGGGGCACCCACCGGTCCGGCGCACTCCTCAACCAGGACACCTGTCGGGTATGAGGCCGCCGCAGCCACCTACCACTAGTCCATCTTTAGAGCTATACTGATGCATCTATCTTACCCGGTCTAGCTGTCGTCGATGCCACCACGACGCCAGACCGTGTCACCCTCCTGTGCGAGTCCATCTCCGCGCATCGGATGTCGAGTCACCACATTGCCATGCCAGCGAGATCCGCCGCCATCAATGAGTGAGATGACGCACCGCTCCACCAAAGAATCCTTCCTCTGGTCTCTCGATCACGTGTGTACCTCCAAAAATGACGCCCCCAAGGGGGGAACGACACCAGAGCGCCGCCGTCATCCGATCTAGGGTTTCCTCCGGAGGTAGCAGAGAGTGGCCTTGAACTTCTGCACGGTGATGCCTTCAAGAAGGGAACGATGCAGATAGCGCCGCCAACTCCGGCCTTGGCAGAAGCTGAAAGCAAGTTTTCACCCAGATCTATTCGAAGGAATCCAACTCCCGTACACGGCCGCCGCCATCACCAGGCTGAGCACACGCCGCCGCCGACACCTCCACGATGCCCAGAGGCCGCGAGACTCGCCGCCACCATGCCTGACAGGCAGCCACGGCCAGGCCGCACCACCCATATCCCATCTGGGGTCAAGAGCCCTAGGCCGCATCCGCTGTCTAGGCGGCACCACCAGACGGGGGACATGCCCTCCAACCTGCCGCAAAGCGAGACACCGCCGGAGCTTCGAAGCGCCACGCCAGCAAGCCCACTAGGAGTGACTAAGCCACCACGAGGAAGAAGGGAAGTCGCGCCAGGGGAGAAGCCCCGCCGCCGCCGGCACTGCCTGGGCTTTGCCCAGCGGTGGCTCTCGGCGGCGGCAAGGGGGAGGGGAGGGAGGAGGAAGGCCGGCGGCCGGGACGGCCAGCTTTCCCCCGTGTCGCCTCGGAGAGGAACCTAGCACGTGGATAGTTAAGGCTAGTTCTTTGGTGATATTTCAATACTTCGGGTTTCTGTTTACGGACTCCTGCCATGTCGAGTTTGGCCTACCCTGACATCTCTTGACGTTATCAAAGTAAATTGCACAAAACCACCATTTGAAGGCTAGGTTTCCAGAAAACACTACAATACATTTTTCCGACAAAAAACACCACGTCTTGCGTAATCTTTTTGCAAAAAACACCGATCGGCGGATTTGGCCGAATTAGACATGTTTTATGACAGATTGGGCCCGCTAGTCAGGCTGACATGGCACCGCCTAAGTAACGGTGACGTTGACTAACATTATCATCATGTGTGGCCCTGTGGGGGTCCACCTGTCGTTGAAAGAAAAAAGAGAAAAAAAATCTAGTGCTCGTGCCCCGCGTCGTGCCTCGCTGCTCGCCGCGTCCGCCGCTCGACGCATCCGCCGCGCGCCGCGCCTCGCCGCTGGCCACACTCGCTGCTCACGGCGCGTGCTGCTGCTGCGGCTCGAGCCGCCATGGCCTCGTCCCGCCCCTGGCCGAGGCAGAGGCCGCCGCCGCTGCCTGTTGCTCACTACCGCTGCTCGCTGCGCCATGGCCTTGGCCCGTCCCCTGGCCGAGGCAGAGGCCACTGCCGGCCCCGCCCTCGCCCGAGCCTGCCACATCTGCTGCCTGTTGCTCGCCGGCCCTGCTGCTCAATGTCGCTGCTCGTCGCGCGTGCTGTTGCTGCCACTCGAGCCGCCATGCCCTTGTCCCGCCCCTGGCCGAGACAGAGGCCGCCGCCCACCCCGCCCCACCGTCGACCTGTGTGCTGCATGCCAGCTGCTTGATGAATGCGTAAGAGAGGAGTGTTACACTAACAGGTGGGGCCATGTGGAGCAAAACTATTCAGTGTAACTGTGTGAAAATTTTGCGTCACTTCAGCCTGGCTGGCGGGCCCCATCTGTCATAATCTCAGTTAACAGAGGTTGATCCGCCGATCAGTGTTATTTGCAAAAAGATTACATAAGACGTGGTGTTTTTTGTCGAAAAAATGTATTGTAGTATTTTCTGCAAACCTAGCCTTCAAAGTGATGGTTTCGTGCAATTTACTCACATTATCAGTACTCTTTAGCCATTTGTTATGCATTGGAGCTTCTAGAGGCCTTCTTGTATATGTCCAAACCATCTCGGACAATGTTGAACAAGCTTCTCTTCAATCAGTGCTACCCCAACTCTCTCACGTATATCATCATTTTGGACTCGATCCATTCTTGTGTGGCCACACATCCATCTCAACATGCGCATCTCCGCTACAGCTAACTCTTGAACATGTCGCCTTTTAGTCCATCTTAAAAAAATCTGGTATGAGTATATAATACAATATATTAATTAGGGAAAGACTAGCGCTCACCTGACTGATCATGCTGCACGCGTCGGCCTCTCCGCTACTACCGGATCAGCTTTTGATCGGACGGCCCACAACATCCCCTACCTTTTGGTAGTCCAGCTTTGCACATGGGCTTTTCTTGCAACCCTTTCAAATGCAACACAGGGTATGTTGCAGATCGGCCAGGGCAAGGGACGATGGCGGTAGCTGGATCCTGCGGGGACGATGTTGTAGGCCCTCAGGGACAACCAAGATATATCTTTGCAACAACAACGACGATCTTCAGCTCCGCAATCTCGCGCGCCTGCTTGGCTATTGTGCCGCCAGACGTGACCGTATACGAGATCTTTGAGCGAGGCATCCTCGACACCTGGTTCCACGGTGACGCCACCATAATGGTGGCCCGCTGCCATAGCTTGCGCGCCCACGCGTCATGTTGCAAAGGAGCTTCACAACATGGGCCATTTTGCAAATGACGGGTAGCAACAGAGGGGGTTTGTTGTGGTCACAACATAGGTAATGTTGCAACGGTAGAAAACGTTTTGATGGAGTGCAACATGGCTCATGTTGCAAGCCCTTGAGCGCAACAAGAACTATGTTGCAAAAAGTTGGGTCGCTGCCGAGAGGCTCACAAGGTAGAGAACGAACGGTTGTCATGCGTGCCAACGACTATGGAGGCGGCAGATCGATCAAATCATTTCCCGGCCGACGTGTAGTGTCGTCCATAATATATCCATAATACAGGCCAACAATTTTGATCAACTGTTGCATAAAATTTATTATGGTGAATACCAATGAGCAAATTCTTGGCTCTGCCCGGGTTACCCCAATTGTAGTTGCAGAGTTTCCTCTCACTTTCCATCGAACTATCAGAAATTTGATTAGCTTCTAAAGTAGTTTCAGCAAGAGCAAATTTTGATGTGGACTAGTGGAAGTGCTTCGAAAAACTTTTCGGGGTTCATCATGATTCATCAGACGGATTACCCCAACTGCAGTTGCAGAGTTTCATCTTACGTTCATCAGCCTGTCTGAATCTTGATGATGGCACTTCTAAAGTAGTTTCAGCAACAGCAAATATTCTAGTGCAGGCAGCATCGCACAGGAACGCTGAAACTTGACAAAAATAATAATATATTTTTACTATATAGTTAAGCGATCATACAAACATTCATATGGCTATTCTACTACTACTTACTACAGATAAAACATGAGTATAACAGCAACATAGTTAAAAATTCTCTCTACTAGCTAACCCTGAACAAGGATGGGGACCAGACACGGTCCAAAAGAAACCCATCCTATATGCACAAGAGCTACAAGAAATTCTCATGGATCTGGATGTCAAGATGGAGAGACTGCATCATATAATTTCTTCTCTTCATCATGGTGGACTCTGCCGCACCAAAACTCACTCATTCACAGAGCGACCATGGGACCATTATGCTTGCGTTGGCCCGTGAACAGCTTCGCCGAGAACAGGTCCTTGGTCAGCTTCCTGAGATCGAAGCCGCGGGGCGGGGCCGCGGCGGCGGGGTGGTGCTTTGGGTTGGGGCTCTTGAGGAGCTCGCGCAGGGTGTAGTTCTCCTGCTTCACCATGTCGATGGACGACGCGAGCTGCCTGATGACCTCCCTCTTCTCCTCGTCCTTCGCGGCGAGCTCCGCCTCGTGAGCCGCCTTGTTCTCCTCGATCACCTTCTGCAGCTCGGAGTTCTGCTCGTTGAGCCTCTTGATCTCCGCGCGCATGAGCTCTGCTTCTTGGTCAAGCTGGTCCTTCTTTGCCGCTGCCGCTGCAGCGCCTTCGGACACCTTCTCATCATGCTCTTCTTCCGGGTCATCAACTTCAGACTCGGAGTCATAGGAGTCTGAGCACAGTGAGTTGGAGGAAGAACTTCTTGTTGTCTTGCCATCCATGGACCCTGAAGACCAGCTCTTGGTCGCCTTGCCATCCATGGACCCCGGAGACCAGCTCTTGGTGCAGGGAGATGGATTGAATTTGGACCGGCATGTGCCGCTGCCATGCTTCAGCAGGTCATACTGCTCGGCGAGCGAGCGGTGCGTGCGGTACAGGTCGCCGAGCATGTCCACCAGGACTGGACGCTTCTTGTAGTACATTTCAGCACGCTGAGCGAACGAGTCCGCATCTTGGTCGATCAGCTTGAGCATTTGCTTGGTCTTGTCATCCAGTTCTGCAATCCAAGGGAAGGAAGAAAACAATTAGTGAAGGTGAAGTTATCCGTGCTGTAAAAACAAGATATGAAGTACAGAGTCCCTATAAAAAAAATCTGACGTACAGAATTACCAGGCCATTATTGATCTATGCATCACAAGATTGCATATGTCACCACAAATTTGATAGAGTGCTAGAGTAATATTGTGAACTTGTCATGATTTACTTATCATTCTTCAGAGTTAAATATGTACATGCTGTAACGACGCAGACAGAGGCTGGAGGAGCAAATCTTCCATTATAATTTTTTTGGGGGGGAAATCTTCCATTATCTAAAAGAGAAGTTAAGACCAAGATGAAATTGACCGTTGGTGAAACTCCACATGGAAAGTAGTATGGCCAGAACAGAGGCGGACAGTTCTGTAAGAGAGATGGTTCGGTGCAGAGGTCATAATATCAGTCCATGGAGTAACCACAACAAGTCAACAGCAAGATCCAGGTTCAGTCCGTCCATGGAGTAACCATACGGTGATAACGACATCCACTGGGGAGTGCCGGGTAGGGAGCGAGAGGCAAACCTGAAAGAGTGGTGCCGAGCCACGGGGACGTCCTGGCGAGGTTGTGGCTGTCGAACCACCATGCCTGCTGCAGCTCCTTGTGCACCATCTCTTCTTCTTCTTACCTTCAGAAATCACAGGAATAAGCACAAACAGCCAACGGGATGGACAAAACAAATGGATTTTGTGAGTAACACACTAACTGCCTTACAAGAACACGAGACAACAAGCCAACAAAAGAGAAGATTTGGAACCGTGAAGAAAGTTCATGAGCATTGAAAACGCAAGGCGTTGGCAAAGGGAAAACGGTAACGGAATACCGAGAATCGCACCAACCAAAGTACCAAGCTGAAGTAGAGCAGAGAAGAAGCAGGCCAAAATATGCATGACTCCATGAGCATAACAGATTCAATCTGGAACAACCGCGCGCGCTCTCCCAACCCACAAATCCAGTAAACCTCGCGTTCTCGCCAGATCCAAACAGATTCAAAACGACGACGCGGTGCAAATCCAAACCAAACCAAACCAATCTAGTCTAGGACGAACGGAGCAGAGGCCCAAAAATCGGAGCTCCAACGGCTTACACGGCTCCGAACGACTCCCGTCGGGGGACAGCGGCCGCCTCCTCCGCGCAACACGGCACAGCAGCCGCAGTTCATCAGCAAGAAACGGCAGAAAGTAATGAACAACCGCCGCGGACAGATCAATCCGGCACCCGCGCCGCGCGAACACAAACGAATCTGGCAGACATAACCTCACCTGCGTCGTGTGGAGTGGAGTTGCCGGCGGCCGCTCTGGCTCTCGCTCTCTACGGTGCCGTGGCGCGGAGGGGGGCGGAGTTTCCCGTTGCCACGCGCTCCACGGGACCGGACCGCTTCTTTGTCCAGCGGACGGACAAGGGGGGGCGCAGCTTTCAGGATTGGGACGAGGGGGAAGGGGACAAGGCTCTGCGCCGGCGCACGCCCGCTCGCCTCTCGTCTCGATCTCCAGGAAAATATTTCAAACCCTGCCGCTCCACGAACGAGACTCTTCTTGCGGGGAGGCCCTCCGGGAACGCCCTATTTAACGGCGTCCATTACCGGGCGCCCGATTGCTGCTTTCCTTTCCGGTTGGCATTCCGGTTGGCCGGCGAGCGTGAATCGTGATCTTCCCGGGCTGGTTTCTGGCCCGCCGTGTGTGTGCACACGGCTCACGGTTGTAGGGGTGCACGATAAGGATTCGATTAATTTGCGTGCTCGGAATTGGAAGGATACGCGGTGGTTTTTTGTCCCGAATTAATGTGGAAATATTGGTAGGTGGTAATTTTCTGCCTGTTATGTTAACGTACATGCAACAGTTGGAAACATGCCAAAGAAATATGGGAAGCGGTTCAATTCGGCCGATTGATTTCTCGCTCATGTCAATGGCACCTCCCGTGCATGCATGACACGTGTCTTCTGTGGCGCCCACGGTTCTTCCCTGTCGTCCTTATCTCTCGCCGAGGTCCCTCGTCCATACGACTTCTTTCGGTGAGCGCAACGTGCTCAACATTGAAAATATGCGTGGTGGTTTGGTGGTTTTCTCCCAAATTAATGTGAACAATATTGATAGGCAATAATTTTCTCCCAATTATATTAAGGTCGTATATTAACGTGCATGCAACAATTGAAATATGCCAAAGAATATGATAAACGGTTTAATTCGACCGATTGATTTCCCGCTCCCGTCAACCGCCTCCCACGCATCATGTGTGCCCTCTCTGTGGTGCCCAACCTCTTCCCTATCATCCTTATCTCTCGTCGAAGTCCCTCGTCCATACGACTTCTTTCGAAAAGCGCAACTTCCCTTCTTCCATCTCTCCGCGAGGGGCTATCATGGCCAGCGCCCACTGCTCCAAAGCTTGAATGGCACTATGCGAGACGGGATGGCGGCGATGTGACCACCGTTGTGGGAGGAGGGGGTGGGTAATTTTCTCCCAATATGGGTACACAATTATTTTCTCCCTGTTAACGATGCTTGCGATATTTGTAAATATACGGAAGAATACGATGTAATAACTTGTGTCAATATGGACTATGCGCAGACTGGGGGAGTAACTGATAATTATTACAAAGGATAAAAAAAATAGTGGAATAACAAAAGAAAAATTGAGGGCATGTTCAGTTGGTGGTCGACTTTTTTTCACTTATATAAAGAAACATGACGCAAACTTACTAAGGAAACATGTCACATGGGGTTTTTTTTTGCGGGTGTCACATCGGTTCATACTCTCAAACTTTGATTTCTTTTTTTTTTGACAGTCAACTTTGATAGTTTGCTGAAAAAAACTTTGATAGTTTGTAACAACGCTTGAAGTGATAAAAGACTATAGCTGCCAAAACGGTACAGACATTATATAAACATGTTAACATGTTTTAGCAACACGTTACACGTAGATAGTAGTACATGTAGCTAAGTATGAAGTGCAAGTCTTGTGAAAAATATCCCGGACTTCCAAGGGGGTTATATGCAAACTGCAAAGATGCTGCCGGAGAAAAGGCGGCCCACTTTCAAATTTGTGGAGCTGGGGCCCGATTAGCGAGTTTGGTCTTTCATTGAAGAAGGGTTTGCCTCGCCTCTGTATCAGCGTCTGACTGACAAGAACCTTATTATCAAATAAAGGATTCAAATTGCATGAGCCCTTCCATGCGTGACGGCGCACCATTCCTGTCCTGTTTTCATCCCTTCTAACTCATGTCTTTTGTCTCTCCGAGAACTCTTTGTTGAGATATGTATTTAGCACATGTATTTTTATATTCCAAGTCTCCTTCTTGTGTATAGTTGAAGATATGACTTGCCCTATGTACTATATATATTTGTGCATATGCACCTATCAATACATTAAAAGTTGCATCCAATTCCTCTACATGGTATCAGCCTAACCCTCGGTCCCTAGCCCTAGCCGCGCCGCCGTCGCCTTCCCAGGCCGCCGCTGCTCCCGCTGCCTAGCGCTGTTGCCTCCCCGGCCGCCGCGCCTCCTCCCTCCCTCCCACCTTCCCCGCCGCGCCTCCACCCTACCCGCCGCACCCCCAACCCCCGCACCCCCAACCCCCTG